CCCATCGCTGCTGGAACAGTGATGTCTCGGAATAGGTCCTGAGTTGGTCTTTGCTGAACCATGGAGAGACGAAAGAGGCTTCTCCGTATGCAAATCAGATCTCCTTGCTTCTCCGTGTAAAATCCTCCAGTGGCTTCCACTGCTTTTCAAGTCAAGTCCCAACTCTTGGGTTGGCCATTCAAGGCTCTTTGCAGCCTCACCCGGCCGGCGGGGGCCATCTCCTGTCACTCAGCATTTGCCTCCTGTGGCCCTGCCAGCCCCAGTGCATGATGGACTGTTTTCTGGAGGGTGCTCCTATGAAAGGTGGCGATGGACAAGGACTCGTGGCTCTATAATCAGATTAAATAGGGTCATATTCCAGCTCTACCTGAATAGCTCTGCCTCCGGGAAGGCGTTACTTAGCCCCTCTTTGCCTCAGTTTCTTCATCTGTAAAATGGTGCTCATGGTGTCACTTACTAAGGCTGTGGTGAAAATCATATGTGTGAAGACGGCTCTTAGATCAGCACCTGGCACGTACAATCACCACATTATGGTTACCCTGAGACTGTTATGAGTCTGGTCACTTAATCCTATGCCTCTTCCTTCTGCCTGGAGTACCTTCCTCCTCTGTGGCCCCATAGAACCTACACATCCTCCAAGTCTCAGTCTCAGTGCCCTGGCCTCTCTGGAGCCAGCTTGCGTGCGTAGCTGAGGCATATTATAAGCTTAAGTTGTGGGCGTCAGAATGTGTGGTTTTAAATCCCGCTTCGAGCCCTGGCCAGTGTGGCTCAGTTGGTTGGGCACTGTCCCATGCACCAGTTCTGTTCACTTGCCGGGGTTACCAGCTCCATCCCAGGTAGGGGGCACGCAGGAGGCAATCCATCTTGTTTCACTCTCACATGGATGTTTTCTTTCGCCTTCTCCCTTCCACTTCCCTAAAAATCAGTTTAAAAGAAAACATTTTAAGTCCCACTTTCTACAACTCACTCTTTTTCTCTAGTTCAGGGGTAGAGACCTTGCTTTCTGCCAGTGGCCATTTGGGTATTTATAACATCCTCTGCAGGCCATACAGAATTACCAACTTAAAAATTAGCCTGCTATATTTAGTCAGACATTTAATTAACTCAGGCCTTGGCAGGGCCAGACCAAGTGATTGCTCAGGCCTTATATGTTCCCCACCCCTGCTCTGGTCTCAACTTGCTAGGCCGTGGTTTTCTTATCTATAAAATTAGGGGAGTGAAACAACAGCCCCTACCTTGTTAGAGTTGTTTGGAAAAAATCTAAAGTGTGTAAAGACATACCTGGCATATACTAAGTACTTCATTCACGTTAGCATTTTTATTAGTAGCCTTTACTTTTTTTCTTTTTTATCAAGAGCTAGCCACCGTATCATTATACTCTTTCTCCATGTTCCTCTCAGCTTCTAGACTGTGAGTTATTGGAGTTCAGGGACAGGGAGCTTATCATTAGATCACAACACGTGACACATCATTCCATCAATGGAACGGACACAAATTCAGATGCTTTGTCCATATGTGGAACCGTTGCTTTAAGAGATTTCAGGGTGGGGGCAGGTAGTGCAGTATAGAGATTTTGTAACACAGGGATCTATACCTGAAACCTATATGACCCTGTTAATCAGTGTCATCCCAATAAACTTTAATTTAAAAAAAATGTAAAAACAAGAGAAAGAAAAGGAGATTTCAGAGAACTGTGAAGAGCGAGCGGTAAGGGAAAGAAGTGCCTCTGGGGGAGGCCTATTTCCGTTCTTTGGAAGGTACTGGAAGCTCCATTTCCTTTGGGCCAGAGGTGTCTGGGGATGGGAGCCAACATCCGTCCAGACAGGGCAGGAACGGACTGCCCAGCCACGACACATATTCTAGGGTGGGATTGACAGGATCACATACAGGTTCTTAAAAAGGGTTGAGCTGGGAACTATTTAAAAACCCTTCTCCCAGAACAGCACAAATCCTGGTTTGTGGTGTGTGCTGATGACTCTGGTGTAAATATTCCCACCGAGGCCGCAGGCAAGCCACCACTGCGATTCCTTATGGAATTCCTCAAAATGTACCCGTCGGCCAGCAGTGAGTGGGCTCCGTCACTCCGCTGTGTCGTCTTCCATTTTTCTCTCTGTAACATGCGAGCCTATATTATGATCCTGTCTCCAAAGAGAAAGGCCCTGGGCAGCCAGGTCCAACGTGGAGGAACCGTGGGGCACTGTTTTAGCGAAGCTGCCTGCTCTCACCGTTACTTTGAAACTCCCCTCCCCTCTGCTGGCCGTGTCTGTCTGTCTGAGCGCCAGGGTCTGTGCTGATGATCCTCTCTCTCTCCAGCACTGCCCGGCTGGCTTTCTGCTTTAGGAGCGGTACGTACCGCTTTATCCTCTGGATCGGGCCTGTGCCCGGTGCAGCAGACTGACTCAATTAGCCTTTCGTTCCAGAGTCCGATTGTGAGTCAATTCCGAGGCTGTTAAGCGAAATGAGTCTGGTGGCAGTGGCCTCGAGCTCGGGGACAGTTATCCCCATCACGGGGCTGTTCGGCGAATAACGGTCTCCTCGAGAGACTACGAGAAATGGGAGACACGTAGACAGGGCGACCTTTCATCCGTCCGGGTGGGGGTGGGGCCCCACAGGTGGGTCTGCCAGGTCAGAGAGCCAGTCGATCGATCAGGTGGTGTGCTGAGCGGGAGCCAGAGCCGCCTGCCCCGCTATTGGCTTTTTCGAAGTTAGAAGCCCAGGACGGTGAGATCATTAACTTTCATGACCAGGAAAATACTTGGGAAATTAACACGCCGTCCGAGCTGGATCCGTTGGAGCCAGCTGGGTGAGCTGGGACCACCTCGGGGGATTTCCTCAGAGAAATAAATCCTTTAACCAGGCTGCAGGACGCGGCCGGGCTCTGTGCACTCCTGTGTGTTCAGTTAGAGGCAGGACAGGCCGGCGAGGCTCAGGCTGCCGGGGAGAGCCAGGCGCGCCCACCTGCGTGCCGGGTCGCAGATGGAGGGCTTTGTCCAGTCCCTTAGCTTCTGCACGTGGCCCTGCTGGGAAGCCACAGAACAGGGCCCCCAGAGAGGGTCAGGGGCCGGGCGAGACAATGAAGCCGAGCTCCAGCACCCACCCCCCGGGGTGTTCACAGCGATGGATCCGGGCCCACAACAGACCGAGCGCCCAGATGGGCACAGGTGGGTGGGAGGGGGAGGCAGACACGCCTTGTTGACAAGGGTCCGAGGAGGAGAGGCGGGTCTCCAGGAACACTGTGCAGCCGCTGCCCTGTGCTGGGAGCCTTTGCACTCCCTGCTACTTGAAGCCACGCCTGTGCCGAAGCGACGCCCATGTGCCTACTGCAGGCCTGGGACACACTTCGGTGACCATCCCGCTGCCTACCTCGCTCGGTGTGCTTGTACAAAGACGTGGAGTACACACGGTTGCCTGGGTGGAAAGACGGGAAAGCAGCGCCGGGTGTGTGGGCTGCCCACGTGGGGGAGCCAAGGAGAAGAAGGCTGAGACAACCGCTCACTGTAGGCCGTCATCGCCGGAGAATGTAGCTCCTCTGGCGGCCCATTGTGCGCTTCTCGTGGAGACAGGGCTGTTGTCTGCTCAGATGACCTCAGAGGGCCCAGCTCGCAGGCCGCGCTTCTTCAACAATATCCTCTTCAGGCTGTAAAACAGCCAGTCGGCCACAAAGAGGCCTCTTGCCCCTCTTTCCTCCCCCACACCAGAGTCTCTGCAACTTCACCGGCACCCAGCACATCGGGGGGACTGGCTGGCCCCCGGGGAGTTCCCAGATTGCAGACATGCTGCATTTTCATTAGTAGGCACCCTCCCTCTTCTCCCTCCCCCTTCCCCCCAGCATCACCTCCACCTATAGCAGACCCCCCCCTCCTCGCCCCCTGCCCCAGGGAGCATCCCTCTGCCTTCCCCTTCAGTTGCAGAAGGCAAGCTCTCCCCCTGGCCACGTGGCTGGAAGCAGCACTGCCCGGGCTGGTGGGTGAGTGATGACTTACAGGACGGATCCGTGGAGGGTTAGCGCCAGTGGGAATTTCGGGAGCAGATGGGCGGCAGGAGCTGTTTGGATGCCAGGGACAGGGCTGTGTGTACAGTAAATATTTTTCCCGCGTGCATCTCCGGTGAGGCTGTAGGGAAGCAGATTTCCTCAAGATGCACACGAGTCGCGTTAGAAATCAATATTGAATGGAAACTGCAGTGCATCTTGGTTTTTCCAGTTGTGGGCCCCAAAGAGTCTCACAAATAAGCCGCCGCCGCCGCCCAGGTGGGCCAGAGGTGGGGCGGGTGTTGTACGGGAGAGGATGCTCCAATTTCAGATTTTGCGTTTTCTGTATTTTGGGGGTTAGAAAAGGCGTTACCGCAAAGGAACCAAGCGAAGTTATGTCTATCTAGAGGCTCTGGATATTTTTAAAAAATATGTGTCGGTTTAGCTCAGTGGATAGAGCGTCAGCCTGCAGACTGAAGGGTCCCAGGTTTGATTCAGATCAGGGGCACGTACTTTGGTTGTGGGCACATCCCCAGTGGGGGGTGTACAGGAGGCAGCTGATCGATGTTTCTCTCTCATCAATGTTTCTGGCTCTCTATCCCTCTCCCTTCCTCTCTGTAAAAACTCAATAAGTTATATATATATATATATATATATATATATATATATATATATATATAATCTTATATATATTTATCTCTGTAAAAAATAAGATATATATATAATTATATATAATCAATAATTATATCTCTCTCTCTCTCTCTCTCTCTCTATATATATATATATATATATAAATTATTGATTTCAGAGAGGAAGAGAGAGAGAGAAACATCAGTGATGAGAGAGCATCATAGATCAGCTGCCTCGTGCACGCCCCACACTGGGGAATGAACCTGAAACCCTGGCCTGTGCCCTGACCTGCAATCGAACCCTGACCTCCTGGTTCATAGGTCAATGCTCACCCACTGGGTCACACAGGCAGGCAAGGCTCAGGCTATTTAATCCTCCCCCGTGTCTCTTCCTAACCCAGATCTCGCCTCGCGGATTTTTTCACCAACTGCCAGCCGGAGTCCAGATCTGCCAGCAGCTGCCTGAAGGAAAACTATGCCGACTGCCTGCTCGCCTACTCGGGGCTCATTGGTAAGATGGGGGGAGAGGCCGGTTTACAAACACTCAGGGATGCTTCCCGCTGTGGCCGCCATGGCCTGTGAGAGCCACAGGCTCCAGTGACCATCTGTGCTGGGGTGTTGATGTCAGGCCTCAAGGACTTGCTTGTTAAAAAAAGAGAAAAAAATAGAGCAAAAAGGAAGCTAATGGGCTCTCAAAGGCAGGGAGCAGGGTTGTTAAAGAGCCGGCAGACAGCAATGCAGTGGAAGAACAGACCATGTGGAACCAGAGAACGGAAAAGCCTGCGGAGGGGAGAGGAGAGCGTGTCAAGCCAAGGAAACGGAATCGGGGACTTTGGAGAAAGGGAATGTGGACGTGGTTCCTTCTGGGGAAATCCAAAAGGCTGTTTCCCCGAAGGGGCCCTTTGGAGAGAAAGCCCTGATGCTCCTGATCGCCATTCACAGCCTGCTGATGCGGCTCCTACAGGGCAGGGTGACTGAGCCTCTCTCTGTTTTCCCTGCGAACAGACTCAGCAGCAGGAAGGGTCCTTTCTGTCTTTCCAGACCTGAGGTGTGAGCAGACCAGGTGCTCGATGCCCAGGAGGCCAGGGTGACTGAGCAGGCAGCGGTGGGTTGGCAGAGAGCCAGCCGGAGGTAGCTGTGTGCCCTTGGGTCGGTGTGGCAGGCAGGAAGGCAGGTGGCTACTCCAGGGACCAGGGCCTGGGCAGCCCGGGTGACAGGGCTGCTTCAGGATTGACATTTGGGAAGGAACACACAGTGCAGGCTGAGAGGGGGAGGGAGATCGCGGCTGTCCGGAGCACGATGGCCCAGCCAGGGTGTGGGTGTGTGCCAGTATCGCGCACGTCACCAGGCAGAAGAACTACCCTCACCCTCCCTCCCCCCAGCCCAGCAGCACAGTCTGAATTCTTTGTCACCAGCCTGTCCTCAGCAAGAGCCATGGGAAAACCGATAATGGGACTTACGCAGGGATACGAGTACTACAGGTGTTTGCACATGTGTCCCTTCCTGCTCGCTCCCAACTGGGGATAGAGCCAGCAACCTGGGCATGTGCTCTCGACGAGAATCGAACCCAGGACCCTTCAGTCTGTAGGCTGATGCTCTATCCATTGACCTAAACTGGCTAAGGCCCGGCCCCACTTCTTTTGAAAGGATATGATACCTGTGCTCTGTTGGGTTGTTGACCACGTTTATGGAAATGTTCAATGTATATAATTTCCTTAAGGCAATGTTCCAAATTGGCATTCTCTTCTTTTTTTAAGTTAGTCCCGAGGAGGGATGACTTATCAACTAAGGCATTATAGGTTTAAGAAATAACAGAAGTAATTAAGAATGCTCATTGTAAAAAGTAAAGAAACAGAGAAGCCCAAAGGAGACAGTTTCAAGGAGCTCCATACAAGTCCACTCGCAGGTGTCATTGCTGTTAACACCTAGTCCCATCCCTCCAGGCACACGTGCTTGTGGAATTCGCCTTGGATGGCTAGGCAGTCTGTTACCTGCCTGCGGAGGATGAGGTTCTCTTAAGGCAGTGGTCGGCAAACTCACTAGTCAGTAGAGCCAAATATCAACAGTACAACGATAGACATTTCTTTGGAGAGCCACATTTTTGAAACTTAAACTTTTTCTAACGCCACTTCTTCAAAATAGACTCGCCCAGGCTGTGGTGTTTTGTGGAAGAACCACACTCAAGTGGCCAAAGAGCCGCATGGGGCTCGAGAGCCGCAGTTTGCTGACCGCTGTCTTAAGGGAATAGTCAGTGAGGCAGTACATTCTACAGACCAAAATCTATTTCTCTGTTGGATCTGGATCCCTCCTTCCGCGGTCATTGCACTCTAACTTCGTTGAGGACAAAGCTGGCCCCGGCTTTTTCCATGTGTCAGGGACCCACTGTGTGCCAGGTGTGCTTAGTAGGTACATGTCAACCTCTTGGCTCAGTTCCTCTCTCACCCAAAGTCAGGAGCCCCCTCTCTGTTGTGGGTCGAAGTTCTCATCTCAAGGTATGATGGCACCTAATTTAGTTCAGGTCAGTGAGGAATGTAAGGCAGAGAAGATGTATTCTGGACCCAAAAGAGCTTACAAAGAAAAAAAAAAGTTTTTTCCCCCCCTGTTTGTGAACCAAATATATCCTGTGGATCACTGACCACTTCTTCTTATTTCCACAAAATATATAAAAACAGAGGGCTTCTTGGCATGAGTTGGCATCGCCTGGTGTGAACCACCCAGGAGAAGGCATTCGGGTTGTATTAAATAGAACTGCACTGTTTATTTGTGCCAACACAGAGCTCACCAGAAAAACCATGCGCGCAGGAAGATGTGGGCAAGAGAGACCACCCAGTACTTCCGTTAGGGCTTTGAGGACTGTTGAGACAATGCTCTAGGAACCATCAGCTTAGAGTATTAGTCAGCAAACTCATTAGTCACCAGAGCCAAATATCAACAGGACAAACAATTGAAAGTTATTTGGAGAGCTACATTTTTAAAACTTCTTCTAATGCCACTTCTTCAAAATAGACTCACCCAGGCCGTGGTATTTTGTGGAAGAGCCACACTCAATGGGCCCTCAGCCGAATGTGGCTCTCGAGCTGCAGTTTGCCGACCACTGGCTGAGAAGCTCCACTGTAGGCGGCCAGTTCCTGTACAGTTTGAAAGACTTTATTTCAATCCAAGGGTATCTGGTGAGCAGAGGCCTCGTCGCATAGTATGGTCAGGAAATCTGTAAAGATCTTCGAAGCTCCCCTGGTTTCTCCGAGGAAGCCATTTGCTGCCTAGGGAAGTAGATTCAACGTCCTAAAAGGATTTTTAAGATACATAAGCCAGTTCTCTCTGTTTATGGAGATTAATGGCATTCTCAAGAAAATGCAAGGGATTTGGCAACTCATGCATTCAAAGTTAATTCTCTTCTACTCTAAGACATCCATACCATTTGCGCAGGGGAAAGAAAAAAAAAAAAAAGGAAAACGGCCCTAAATGCAGCTCAGGGAGTTGTGTTATAATTTTTTAAGTAAATGTGTAAATTATTTCATGTGCTTGAGACAAATTGCAGGGAAAATGCACTGCTTAACATAATTTCCCACTCTGCCAACGCAGTGTTCGCAATTACCCACGGTGCATCTGCCCTGAGAGAGCATTTGTTTCCTTTCGGGCTGTAGAGAAGTCCTTGTCATGAGGCAAGAATAAAACACCTGGTTTCTACCCCTTCAGGGACAGTCATGACCCCCAACTACATAGACTCCAACAGCCTCAGCGTGGCCCCGTGGTGCGACTGCAGCAACAGTGGCAACGACCTGGAAGAGTGTTCGAAGTTCCTGAATTTCTTCAAGGACAATACGTGTCTTAGTAAGTTGTTATTTTATGTGTTTTTATGTTTTCTTTTTTTGTTTGTTTTTTGTTTTTAAATAGGAAACACGTTTTTCTCTCTGAGTTCAAGCCCTACTTCCATGTTCCTTATATTTCTTGTGTCCGTTCCCCCCATTTCTCTCTCTTCTCTCTTCTCTCTTCTCTCTTCTCTCTTCTCTCTTCTCTCTTCTCTCTTCTCTCTTCTCTCTTCTCTCTTCTCTCTTCTCTCTTCTCTCTTCTCTCTTCTCTCTTCTCTCTTCCCACATCCTTTGTCCACATGCCTAATGCAGCAGGGAACACAGCAAGTGATCAGCTGGGTGCTGCCAAGACAGACTCCAAAATCTCGAGAGAACAAGGGATTCTAATAACCAAGGGCCCATTGTGTGGGAGGGAACCCTTCTACCCGCAGATCAAATTTTGATTTTGGCAACCAGCACAGAGTCTGTTCCAAAGGTTCTTAAAACCTGCGTGTGCTATACAGTGTGAGATGCTCAGACAGATTAGATGGGGGAGGCCCCGAAGGGATCTCGGAGAAAAATTAGAATGTCAACATCAATAGCCCCCATGATGCTCCACGTTGGCTCAGAGGAGAAGCAGCAGCTCCCGAGTGAGAGGAGTTGGCTGGGCTACCACAAGGTTGGTTTTGGGAGGTGGAGATGAGCACTGGATAGGTGGGGGGGAGGGGGGGAGGGGGAACCTCTAGGCAAATGGGAAACGTATTTCCCAAAGGGGGAGAGATGGAGAGGAACGTACGGGTGAACACCATTCATCAGGCGAACTGCTAAAGCACTGGGCCAGGTCTCCCTTCTGGCCACTGAGATGCTTGAGTACCTCACCCACCCACGTGTTGTGTGGCCACAGTGCATTTCCTGGGTGCCTTCAGCTCACTCTTTAGGGAGTCTTATATATGCATGATCTCATTTGCCATAATCTGCACAAGAGATACTATCATCTCTACTTCACAGTTAAATAAATGGCTGGTCTTCACGTAGACCATCCAAGTCAAAGATAGGATGCAAAGCCTGGGTTCCTTCTGCAGCCCCTTGTCCCCTATGGAGCTAGTGTTGTGCCTGCTATTGAAGGGCCTGTTGGGCAAGAACATACACCTGAATGTTAGGGACCATGCACGAGTTCCTGGGGGCAGGTGTGGACCAAGTTTCTAGGCATCGAGGCTCAGCAGCCCCTGTGAGAGCCCTGTCCTCCAGGGACAGTTTCTGCAGGAGGTGCTCTGGATGGTGACTGATTTCTAAAGCATTGGCTAACCGCTTGCCATGTGCACCCTGGAAAGGCTTTCCCGTGTTGCTTTTCCAACCTCCTCATTGTTTCTAGAAAAGACAAATCTAAGTGACCGGTTTCTTAGTCACATGGCTGTGACCATATCCTTAACACAAAAACAAGCTTTTTGAAAACTTAAGTGAAATTCGGGCCCACAAAACTAGTCTCAAGTGGGGAGTCATTTGCCAAGACATTGGGCACACTACAGACCTCTTGTTTAGTCTTGACATCAAATAATTTATATTTTATGTGATAGTCTTCACCTCCTGCATGCTCTTCTGGCAGAATACAAGATTTAGTGAAGATAAAGCAATGACAGTGGAGGTCAGGGTAAGAAAAAGATGCTCACCCTGTCTGGAAAGTTGCTCCTTCACAGAGAAACTCAAGTTGATCTTATGTAATAATATTTTGGTGAAGGGGAGAATAGTCTGGTATCTTACCGCTAATGACTTTGCAATAAAAATAGGTGCATTTGGTCTTCAGCGGGGGCCAAGGCCAGCCAGAAATTTTCATGCTCATTCAATTTATACTTTGTTTAGAAGAGGAACAGATTACCAAAGACACAGTGCTACGGATTCATTATCTGCCAAGGCCCTCGCGTAGAAGGAATTGGAACTTGTGCATTCCCACCCCGATGCAGTAACTCAGTTCTGCTCTCTTTAGATTAACCAACTCTTCCCCCGGCTCCCCTGTCATGAACACCACTCTGCCCTATGGTTGACTTCCGGTTATTGTGGGGGAAACAGTTAATTTTATATCAAAGTGCATGGCAGATGTTGGGGAAAGAGAGATGAAAGAATGAGCTGAAGGTGAAGGTGACTGTTACTGTCACTCAAGTCTTTCTTTAGACACCACCTTTCCCTCCCTGGACCCCTGCATCTAAGCTGCATTTCCCCATTCCCACCCAGGGCGCCCTGCACCCCACCTGCTTCCTTCTCCAAGCATTGCTCACCGCCTAATGTATGTTCTCCTTGTTTCCTCCCAAGCAGAATATGATCTCCAGGAGGGCAGGGACTTTTGTCTTTCATTGTCTTTTTTTTTTTTTTTTTTGTCATTGATCTTTGCAGCATCCCTAGTGCCTGGCACTTTGTAGATGTTTCTTTGACATATGAATGAATGAATGAATGAATGAATGAATGAATGAGCAAGTGAACAAACAACCTCTCCAAGTGCCAGGGCAAACTCAGGGAAAAGCACAGGTAGTCTCAATGAATGGGGAAAGGATCTCTTGAATCTAGACGTTTTAAGAAGAAAAAGGGTCATCCAAGGAAACCAGTCCCCATATACCTTTCTCTACTTTCCGCCCACTTGCTGGGCCATATGACATGGCTAGAAGCAGGAAAGGCATTTATATTAATTTGAAGCTGTTTCCTGCAGCCTTGGAAATGTAAAGCTGTAGAAAACAGGTTTCCAATTTTCTGAACTTAAAGGATAACAATTTTAGAACAAAATGTCACTTCTAAGAGGAACATTAGGCTTAAATTATTCTGTCTTGTATATCGAAAAATGCCAGCTAAGAGTCAGATATTAACAATTTGCACATTCAGGTCCCAAGTGGAAGAGTTTGATTTCTTATACAATGAATATGAAGTAAAAAAAAAAAAAAAAAAGCCTAAATCCAGGCCAAATCCCCAAAGACCTGATTAAACTGTTTCTTATTCATTTGAGGGGGAGGGGGGGAACAATACAACCAATTTACTCTTGCCATAAAAACAATCTAATCCCATGAACTTGTAATAAGCTTTGAAAGTTTTACATTTTCAACTTTTCATGTAAGCAGGGCCGCTCCTACCTAATTATGCAGATTTTGTTTAGAAGACTGGGAGCAGAAAGGGAAAAAAATAATCTCAGTTAAATTTTCATTAGATTATTGCTGAGGTCCGGGGGAGATTTTTCTTCCGCAGAAACTGGTCGCATGTATGCTGTAAGCATGCCTGCCTCATAGGAGGTGCTCTGTGCTGGGGAATCACATTTTGTTGCTCTTCGATTTCACTGCCTAACAAACAAATGTCATTGCCACCGAGTCTTCTCCGTCCCATAGTTAATGATGTTATACCTAAAAACAATAACAACAACAAGAACAACAACAAAAAACCTAATGAGTTTGCTTTGGGTATAGGATTTTGACAGAGCACAAAGGTTTTCTTGGAAGATGGGACAGGGGTTTGGGATCTCAAATAACAGGTCTGAGGCTGGATCTCAAAAGGCTTAACCAATGAGTAGAGTATTTCAGAGCAAGGACCTGGCGCATCATTGGGATGGAATAGATGTGGGTTGCACTTGGAGCTCAGTGTTGAATGAATGAATTGACTTTTGAACATCTGACCCATTGGCTGGCTTTCAACGCACGTAGGCTAGACAGCTGGGTGGGTTTTGTTCAGGAAAGTCCGGTGCTATATTCAGAATTTCTAGGCTGCCTGTCTGGCTTTCTGTAGCTTGTCTGGTACATTGGCTGCCTGACTTTGAAATTGGATTTCCTCCTGTTTTACTGCAGAAAATGCAATCCAGGCTTTTGGCAACGGCTCCGATGTCACTGTGTGGCAGCCAGCCCTCCCGGTCCAGACCACCACTGCCACCACCACCACAGCCTTCCGGGTCAAGAACCAGCCCTTGGGGCCAGCAGGGTCTGAGAACGAGATCCCCACCCACGTCTTACCGCCTTGTGCAAACTTACAGGTAAGCTTGAGGCTGACTGTCAGAGCTGGCACTGCACAGGCACATTTTCTTTAGAGCCAGGTGGCAGACGATGCCCAGGTTGGAATTTTAAAAAAGTGCTTCTTAACTGTGATACATGGAGATGGGGAAGTGCCATAGAGTGGAGCGAAAGCTGGACTTGGATTGCCCTTCATAGGGGGTGTGGCTTCGGCAAGGCTCCTGCACGTGGATCTCCCCTTGGTGTCCTCACCTGTAACATGGTGTGAGGGCTGGGCAGCTGGGTCCTGAAGGTTTTCATTTCTGGGGTCCAGCTAGATTGGCCGTGTGCATGTATTTTCTACAAAACAGCAGCATATTGAAAAGAAAGGAGCTTATGGCTTTGTTCCCAACACCTCCGCTTAATCAGAATGATGTAAAACTAGCCCAACCGGCATGGCTCAGTGGTTGAGCGTCGACTTATAAACCAGGAGGTCGTGGTTCAATTCCCAGTCAGAGCACATGCCCAGGTTATGGGCTTGATCCCCAGGGTGGGGAGTGCAGGAGGCAGTCGATCAATGACCCTCTCTCATTATTGATGTTTCTCTCTCTCCCTCTCCCTTCCTCTCTGAAATCAACAAAAATATGTTAAAAAATACAATTGTCTCTAAAGGGGAACCAGAGACAGAGCTACCAGTGAGGCGTTAGTTCAAGCGTGGAGCCCCCTGAGGCTTGTCGAGTCTTCTACAGAGAGAGGAGCTGTGAGCAGCTGCCCTGCCAGCACAGACCCACAGGAAAGGCCCCGAGGCCTCCCTGGGGTTAATCCCGACCTTCCAGGGCAGGACCACACCACACACACATACACATACACACACACACACACACACACACACACACGCACGCACACATGCACATATGGTGGCTTCTTGACTTAATGTCAAAGCAGGGTGCTGATTCTGCCCTCCCATTGATTTTCCCATAGTAAAGAGCATTCAGCTGTTTGGTGGGATAGTACATATTCATGTGCTCACCAAGTCTTTTTGTGCTCTTTCCCTCTTTGCATGTTACGCTCCCGTGGCTGCGGGGGAGAAGCTATTACTGTGGTCCTGCCAGGCCTGATTCTTTCATTCGAGGACACGGGCTCAGCGAGGTACCACTTTCGCTGGAGCCTGCGGAGCTGGTGGGACCCAGGCCCGTGCTGGGGGTCCAGGAGCCTCACTTTCTTTTCAGGGCTCTCCCTGTAATTGGGGTAGTGCTGACCGCGTGGTGACTTCTGCCTCCTGTCCTGTGTGGAAGGGGGTGTTTGCCAGGCACTGTGCTGTCACATTGTCATAGTTCACACTGGAGCACAGCGTCCCCTCACTCCCCCTAAGGTTCAGTCTGGCCATAATGCTCCCCAGCATCAGGGCCTCTCCTAGCCTCAGCTCCCTCATCTGTGAGACCAGAGGCTGGTCTCACTGCTAGGACTGTGAGGATCAAATGAGGCCATGCATCTGTGCTTGGGCGTGGAGAATGCTCCAGAATAGTGCCTCAGAAACATCCCGGGCAGTGCCCGCTCCTACATCACTGGCCAGTGTGCCTCAGTCTTGCTCCCAAATCCTAGACGTTGGCCTTGTTCCTTGGCTTTGGATAATCTGGGCTCCTTCTCTGAATTAGGGATGGACAGAGAGGAGGAAGTGAGAACTAGAAAAAGTGCTAGAGGTCATGCAGCATGTGTCTTTCTGTGTCTGGCTTAGTTCACTTCGCATCTTGTCTGCCAGGTCCGTGTGGAATCTGAAAAAGGAGCGTCCTGAGAAGCAGGGAGTAGAATGGTGGTTACAAGAGTGTGAGGAGGGAGAAGTGGGGTATGCGGGGCAAAGGGTGGAAAGTTCCAGGTAGCTACACAGAATGAATAAGTTCGGGGGGAGGGGGATGGATCCTGATGGACAGCATAGGCATCCGTCTCTTTGTAATATTTTATAATGTACAATTATCACATACTGCATTCTCTGCTTGAGATTTGCTCAGAGGGTAGATCTCTATTGTTCTCACAACCCCCCAGATGGTAACTTGATTGTGGTCAACCTTTCACAATGTATGCGTATATAAAAGCATGCCATTGTATGCCTTGCCTATTTACAATTCTTATTTCTCAATGATAACTCAAGAAAGCTAGCGAGGTGGAGGGGAGACAGAAAAGATGAGCAGGAAGAAGCTGGTTTTGAGGGACCCCTAGGCCCGGTTCTTCCTAAAGATGGGGATGGGTGTGACAGGAAACACAAAGCTCCTATTTGGGCTGGGTTCCTCCTGCCACCGTTCTAGGAGATAGGGTGCTGGGGAAGCCCTGAGAGTTTGCCAGCAAACCTTTTGACCTTTTCAGGATGACTTAGGTTAAGGATGGTGGGAAGAATCACTGGAGGCCAGGGGATTGAACAGGGGATCGATTGGGGCCATGGTCGGCAAACTGCGGCTAGGGAGCCACATGCGGCTCTTTGGCCCCTTGAGTGTGGCTCTTCCACAAAATACCACAGCCTGGGCGAGTCTATTTTGAAGAAGTGGAGTTAGAAAAAGTTGAAGTTTCAAAAATGTGGCTCTCAAAAGAAATGTCAATCGTTGTCCTGTTGGTATTTGGCTCTGTTGACTTATGAGTTTGCCGACCATTGGATTGGGTGATGAGATGGGTCTCAGACCTTGAGAACGAGGTCCCTGGCGCTGAGTCGGGACACCTGCTTTGACGCAGGGCCTCCAGGAGAGGAGTTCTCCCCGTCTGTCCTTCCTTCGCCTGCCTGGCTGTCTCCAGGTAAATCACCATTTGCCTGGAGGCCCCAGAAATACCTTAGAAGGGCGTTTGCCCGCCGCATATGTCATTACTCAGAATAGAACCAGCTTGGGACCCATTGGTAACAGATTTGGAGAAAGTCAGCTACGTCTGGCAGCTCTAAAGTTCACCTCCCTCGAGAGGCACCCTCTTGTAATATTTTATAATGTACAATAATACAAGAAAACTCCCGGGGACTTGAGTGTCTGTCTTAACATTTGAGATAGATTTCCCCCTTGGCAGGGAAGCAATAGAATAAACATTTTCGAAAAGTCAGCTTGGAAGGGTGATTATCAACACACCAAACCCAGTTCTGTTGGGGGAAACGGTGGCCTTGGGTGTGTGCAGTGCACCCAGGACTCATCTGTGGTCCCTGTGAAAGGCTCTGTTATAAAAAAGGAATGTTGTTGATTGATTTGTATAAAATGACGTTTGTCCAAGGACCGGCTCTCCGAGGTGCTAAGTGACCAGGTTTGGGATAATCCACCACACTCATATGTTGGGATTAATTGGCGGTCGTATTAGTAACAAGCGGGACACAGGCAATGCTATTGTTGGCACATCCCTTTGACTCCGCACAAAACGGTCAATGAGAAACAAGGCAATATTTAAAAGCCTACCAATTATTTCATCTTCTGCGCACTTGAGTGGTCTGGTAGCTGGAAAAAGCTCAGATGCACGAGCCAAATGGATTGTGCTTGTCATTTATGTGAAGTAGATATTCGGGGGAGATGCAAGGATGGGAAAAAAATCTGGTTTTGGCATCACTACACTGTTTATCTCCAGTGGCATAAGATGAAGACTACTCCAAGTGGCATTTGTGGACCCCTGGTTTCCATGGTTATATAGGGTTATACTAGTAGAGACTAAGTAGTTCTGGTCCACAGTATAGGCCGTATTTAAAGTCCGTTGTTTTGTTTGTTTGGGAGCCAAAGAAAATATATCCGCGGGTGAGATGTGGAGGACTCAAGTTCAAGTGCCGGGCCCCGTCCTCATGGGACTTGTGAGGCAGCTTTCTCAGTCTTAAACGATGTGAGCAGGGTCCCAATGGATGGCCTTTGCAAGAATGCTTACTGCTAAAGTCAGCAATGCAGGGGCCAGCTGTCCCCTGCCCCTCCTCAATCATCGCATCATCTACTTTGGTGGTCAGGCCACGCTAGCTCTAGGGGTCCCACAGCTGGGTCACTGATGATGGCCTTCTGTGGGCCACAGGGTGGGGGCATCATTCACAGCTGAGGACCTACAACATCCACTGGATTTCAGTGTGAGGCCACACCTCCCTGGCCTCCTGGGCAAGCCTTATTCCAGGCCCTTCTCTTTCCAGAGTACAGTGTAGAGCTTAGAGCAATAAGCTGGGCACTTGCAGGCTGCAATACCACCTTTATGGGTTGGTAGGTGTGGAAAGAGAGGCAGCATTTGCCCATCTTTAATACTGAACACATGTGACTCCTTACATAGAGTATTAATTGTGAATATGGAATCCTAGAAACCCAGTGCAAAAAATTCACACATGGGTAGGGTCCCTAGGCCTGGACAGTGATCAGGGCTGATCCTCCTTCATTCTGTGCTGCCCCCCTGGTGGTCATCACATGTCATAGCAAGCGGTCGAACTCCAGAGGGGACAATTTGCATATTAGCCTTTTATTATATAGGATTAGCATACTGCCTTAGAATGTTGAAAATAATCTCTATCCGAACCAAGACATTGCATCCTGGAAGAGCTATTATATGTCTCAGGAGGTCTCAAGGCCCATTCGTACCGGATGGGGCCAGACCAGCACAGGAATGATTTTGAAACTCTTTTCAGGGCCAAACCTCAAAAGTCTGGATGTGGCAGGAGGGTGATTATCCAAACCTGCTAAGTACCCGGGACTCCACTGGCTGTGACCAGGTGAAAATGTGAAGTGTTGAGTTTGAAAAGGAAAGCTGCCAATGGGTGTTCTGTAAATCACTGGTGCCAGCAGACTGACCCCATTATGTCAGCTAATCCTGGAAATACAGGAGGTAAATTTAAATCTTCCAGCATGAAGCACTTAATCAATATTCTAAATGTTTCCCTTGCAATTTATGCTGGCAGGGCAATGGGGCGCTTTGGCGTCCCGTTAATCTTTCACTGGAAAAGAGGTGCTTGTGCACAGGGCCAGGGCGCCAGGTTCGGGTGGCTGGAAGCCGCAAGGGGAGAAGTACATACTTATTTCCAGACCAGGCTCCTGGCATGGGGCTGCTCACTCCCTGTCCTCACATTGCC